ATATATTTAATGTATGTGTGTATATATATTTGTATACTGCTGGGTAGTTTAATCTATAATTATACATCATCATTTATTGGCTGATTATAGTTTGTATTATTATCTAAGTGTTCAAAGGAACCAAAAGCAGACAAATAAATGTAGTGGAGTAAAAAGTACAATATTTCCCTCTGAGCTGTAGACGAGAAGTATGAAGTAGCATAAAATTAGGAACTGTTGTTCATGCTGTTAGTATAGCAATTACTTGACATGTCTGCCTGTACAGGTTAGATTTGTTTGTTCCCTTTTGTATTGATGTATGTGAAACAAATAAAAAATGAAATACTTAAGTCAATCAATATTTGTAACATCACAAATTATAATAAGTTTGGAAAATTAAATTTAAAAAGATAAACAGCTTTAAGGGTAAATAAAATGCCAAAGTGAAGTGCAGAAAAATAGAACTTGTTAATAAAAAAAGATAATAATAATAATAATAATAATAATGTTAATTTCAAGAAATAAAATTCTCACAGCAGGATCCCCTCGGACCCCCCACCAGAGATCCGGGCTAAGCCCCCCGTGTCCTCAAATCCTAGAACCGCCCCTGTGAGAGTTAACAGTTTAAATGTTTTATATTTTATTGCAGAAAAACATAAAACACAGACACACTGTAAAATCATCTGTGTGAGGGTTTAAATCAGTATCAAACACTGGAAGTATTGTTTTACATTCACAACCGTCATGTGCGTTGTGAGAGCGCGCGCGTTGACGTTCCGGTGCACGCGCGTGTCCTGACAGGTGAGCGCGCGCAGCTGGCCGGTCGCTCTCGGCGGGTGACAGATGGAGTTGGTTTGACTCGGAGTCAGGGGCTGAAAGCTTTTTGGTGAAAACAGGAAGAAATTCACGTCTCTTTTTTATTTTTAATCTGCAATGAGAGGTGATCAGACAGAAAATGGAGAAAACTCAACGAACTCGGTGAGCGCAAAGGATGACGGGACAGTTATTAAGTAACAAGTGACATGTTTGCATCGGAATGCACGAGAAACTAACGTTAACACTAACCCCTGTGTTCGAAGGCCAAACCTCTACTAAAAACCTGTCATTCTAAAGTTACTTTTAACATCGTTTTACTTTAACACAAGGTAGGAAAACACTTTAAACAATAAAATATTGTTTAGAAAAGACTTGTAAATTCGGCTCACAAAAAATAAAATAAACTGCTCGTATTTAAATAAAATTTAAATGTTGAAGTTTGGCTGATTAGCTAGCTAGCAGGTGATTAATGTATTTACTTAAGCTTTGATTTTTAAAGCTTCTTAGCTAAGTACATATTTGGTTTAAAATTTTAATTAATATAATAAACAAAAGCTTGATAAAATAAATTCACATTTTTATCTGATGTTCTCAGCTGCTGGTCTCCTAAAACACTGGATTTATCAGTAATATATTCCATTAAATAGCCTATAAAATAAACTGTGAAAGATTTAATTTTTTGCTTTAATTCTTGCAATTTAAAAGTTAACAACGTTATTCTAAAGTGTAACATTTACACTTTAATCAGTATTTGGCTCTGTAGCCATCCAGGCAGTCTATTGCTTTATCAATAGGCCTTTCTAATTAACTATTCCAGCAGACAGTATATTGAGGCAAGCTTCTAATGTTGTGATGTGTGTGAGGGTTTACATACGGTGGGTCTGCTGTGGTGTTGTTATACTGTTTATTTGCCTGTGTTTTCTCTGTGGTATTGACAGAGGAGGTGTGTATGAGAAACACAGAGAGACACCCAGTGCCTTTGTCACTCATGTCTGGTGGCATGGTGAGTGGAATGATAAACAGAAGCCTGAGCTATCCATGTCAGGGGCCGAAAATAGAGGCTAACCAAGAGGGTCTCAGATAGCCCCCCTGGTCTCCATATAAGTCTGGTCAGCCTGCGTTTGGCTTCCTGTGTGTGTGTATGTGTGTGTGTTTGTGTCTGTGTGTGAGAGATACCCTGACATGTCCACCTGCCATTAGGGGAGCAGGCTTTATATAGCGTCTCTCACTCAGCAGACTTAGTTATGTCTTTTTCATGTTTATGAGGTCAAAACATATGACAGCCTTGGAGAGTTTGTGTTCACTTGTCTAAATGTGGATAATGGGATGTTGGCATTTTGGTAATATGGCACACAGTTAACCTGCTCAATACATTTTTTACAGTGTTCAAGTTTAGTTTACAGGTAGGTTTAAAGAGATAGTTTAGTTTTTTTTTTTTTTGTTTGTTTTTTTTGCAGTGTACCTCTGCATAGATAGTATATTACCAACAGTAGATGTCAGTCGGCACGCCCCCAGTTTGTAGAAGCAGGCTGGAGTCCAACATGGAAGCTAAGCAATCTACTGCTGTGGAGGGGTCAGCAACAGAATGTATTTTAGCCGCCTAAAAAAATCTTTATCAGTTTAAGTGTATGTTATATTACGAGTATTATCACTGCTTTATCTTAATGTCAGACAGCAATATCTAACGGGATAAAGAAGCCGTTCTATCGCCAGACTCCATTGAGAAAAACAATAATTTAGCATTGCTGAACACAGGAGCTACTGGTCTACTGTTGCCTCAGTCAGTTATTTAGTTTGTGTTATTGTGTGACTTTGGTGTTTAAAAGAGTTAGTTTGGATTCACCAAAGTCACACAATAACTCACACTAACTACCAGAGCGCAGCAGCGATAGACCTGCAGCTCTCGTGTTCAACGAGGTAAAATTACTGTTTCTCTTAAGGAAGTCTGGTGGCTTTGACAAGAGCATAGATGGGGAACTGAGGGCGTTAACGGCTTCCCTGTCAGAACTGGCTTCCTGATGGAAAGGTAAAGCGGTAAAAAATACTCTCAATATAGCGTACACTTAAACTGATAATGATTTTTTTTTAAGTGGGAATCAAACACAGTACATTGCTTAGCTTCCATGTCAGACTCTAGCCTGCTTCTCCAAACTAGGGGTGTGCCGAGTGACATCTACTGTATGTAATATACTGCGTATAGATAAGTACCCCATACAACCCCACTTAAAAAAACAAACAAAGCTTAACTATTCCTTTAAGTAGTTTGTTCAACATGTTACCCCCACCAAGGACAGACTTGTCAAACACAGGGTGACAAAAACCTTTGTTCATGTATTTAAAGATTGTTCAACAATTTGAGAAATACACTCATTTGTCAGAACAGTAAATACGAAGCTACCATGAGCAGCCAGTTATCTTTTGTTGCAGACAGACTGGAAACTAGGGGAAATGGCTGGCCCAGCTATGTCCAATGGAAACACAGTCTGCCTACCAGAACCCTAAAGTAGCTAAATAACATGTTCAATCTTGTTTGTTTATCATTTCAGACAAAAAAGTGCACAAAAACGTTAAAAAATGACAAGTTCCTGATTTATGTGCTGAATATTTCTGAGTTAAGACCAGTAACTTCCTGGAGTCTCTGCTAGTTGCTCAGCAGTTAGTCCTCATATAGGCTGTAGAGATGTGAGAGTGGTATCAATCCTCTCATCAAACTCTCTGTGAATGAGCAAATGAGTACATTTTTATAATGTCAAACTGTTCCTTTAATTCTGCATATTGAAGCCACTGAATTTGGCTTTGTTTCATCAAACTGTTGTCCTGACCGCGCTGACATGTAGGCCTCATATAGGCATGACAGTGTTGGCATTTGTACATTTGTCCTTCAGCTCCATATATACCCCATGAGTGTGCTCACAGCTGGGTCAGAGGCTAAAAGTGAGGCCCACGTAAGCTGTTATCCTCAGGTGCCACATAATGTCATACTGGGACCAATGGAAAGCCCATTTGTGGCCCAGCTTGGTCAGTTTGATGTAAGGATGTCAAAAGTATCGATATTGGTATACTTTTATCATCTCACATGTTTTATTATACATTTGATAGTATCAAAGGTACCAGAGCTATAAAAAAAAAACAGATCTACTGTAAGATTTTTAACCCCTGGCTGCACAGATGAAACAATGGGGGAGAAAATCAAAATCACATACGGCCCAATTTGATCTTAGATGGGCCAGACCAATAAAACCATTGCACAATTACCTATAAGTACCATCAGCTCCAATATTTTCCCTTTGTTTGCTGTAAGGAATTATAAGTACCTTCTGTAGACGTCATCTTTTTACAAAACAGACGAACAGCCTGATGTATCTTTAAAAGAAAAACAAGTGCAATTTCAACAGTTTGTCTCAGTCTTTCCACATTCAGTAAGTCTGCGTCTCACTGTCATTACATGTGCATTTATTTATACATTTCCTGAAACAGGTGTGACACAGTCTGATACAGATTCCTTTGAACTGAAGCTGACGATTGACAATCCTGAAACCTGGCACCTCTTATTCTAGTCATCTAGTGGGCCAGAGTGGACCCTTTGGTGAGCTGGTTCTGGTCCACGGGCCGTATGATTGACACCTGTCACAGACTCTCATGTTAAAATGCCCAGCTTTACAGCAGAGATAAACATGTTAACAACCTTGTACAAATAACGGTTTTGGTCTGTAAAGCTTCACGTAAGCTGCACAGGAGGTGAATTTTTTATACAATTCACCCATTTATATTTAATTAAGGTCCAGACTTATGCATAATTAAGGGAGTGGCCCACTTGAGTGACAGGCCGTCTGTGAGGATTCTCTACAGTCTATGAGTCAGATCCACCCCTCGCTCTTCCACGGCTCCAACCTCTCATCGAAATACGGTCACTTGTGGCTCCAAAAAACCAAGATATTGATGGCCAAAATGCTTCAAGGCTTCAAAATGTTATCCCACAATCCAATGAGTGACATCACTGTGGCTACATCCAATATTTATACAGTCTGTACTTCTTTCAGTATCACAGGAAACCAAAAAATGTCCTGGGAAAACAAAATCATGGAGTGTCAATCTTTTATAATAGCATTATATCGAAGTTTTAAAATTCTGGTTTTGTGACAGCATCAGCCAAATGAAAGTCAAATGCCAGTCCATTACTAACTCAAACTATGTGTCGCATACGACATGCTGGCAGAGGCATTGAATGACGGATTTCAAACCTGACTGTTGTGTTTTGTTTGTCCAATCATTTCCCTCAGCAGAGTGAAATCCTGATCAACCAGCTGAAGGAGATCACTGGTGTCCAGGACCCACAGATTCTCTACAGAGCCTTGAATGTAAGACCTCAGAGATCATCATCAGTCATTCATTCATTTATCTTCCATGACTGCTTATGCTGGTACAGGGTCGCGGGGAGGCTGAAGCCTATCCCAGCTGACGTTGTACTAGAGGCGAGGTACACCCTGGACAGGTTGCCAGACTATGGCTGAATCCAAATGTCCCGACTTCACTGCTCTTGCAGACTCGCAGACTTTGCAGGCGCGTTCCTGGGTAGTCTGGGGGTGCTTAGGGCTGTCCATATCTACATTTCATCCAGTCCACAAGGGGCCCTAAGCGGACTTTCTGCAGACTTTCAGAGAGTCTGCTTTGGGTGCAGACTTCAGCAGACTTCACTGATTTAATTGCCCTTCAATTTATTGCAAGCCGACATGACATTGTAGTTTTTTAATGCAAATATGTAGAATTCATAGGCAACAGAGGAAACTCAAAATGCATTGTTTTATTGCAGCCTAACCCTATAGGTTTCGCACTGTAATGCCAAATATATAAAGGCTAGAAAACTGGCTGAAAAATAACAAAAGAAGATCTTCTGATGTAACTAATAGGCTTACCTGATTTATTTAGTCCTAGTCCAGTCCTTATGTACAAACATCTCTGTATTTGAATGTCTGCAGTCTGTATGTTTTACAGAAATTTATTTTGTTCACTCACAAAGCAACCCTATACATGAGATTTATTTCTTGTTACCTGCAGATGAGCAGACAGAATATGGCCCTGATCACACTGAAAGCGTTTTAGCAGCTGTAGGCGCCTTTTTGTAATAGTTTTTAATGAGAATGAAGCTTTTTGCTCGCTGTTTTGCGTTGCAATGCGCCTCGTGTTTCTGTGCTCTAAGCAACTGGCGTTTTGAATGCGTCGAGTTGAAAACACCTTGACTCAAAGTGGAAAAGCCCCCTATGTCATCTCTTTTTTTGTCATCTTTTTCTCCCATTGTCCAGTCTGATGATTTGAGAGGCGGGCCTTCTGTGGTTATCATGACAACAAGTTTACAGTTGGTAAACAATGGAGGAGAAACTGGTGGTAGTGGTTGCTGGATAGCCAGAGCTATATGACCTGACGATAGACAGCAGGTTGTCAAACTGCCCCTGAGTCATCCTAAAATATGTCTGGAAACGCCCATCATGGAGGAGAAGCTCCTGGACCAACAGGTGGTACTCCCCATGATCCAGCCTCTTTTTTAGGGTCTCATGTACCCACACAGATCTCTGTTTATCTGCTGACAGCCTCTCACCCTCAACCAGAGCTACAGACAGTACCCTCTGCCTCAACATGTCAGCAACTACACACAGATTACTGTTAACTAAAATAAATTTAAAAAAGGGTAGACTGATTGCACGGGAAGGGTAGAATAATGAGGTGACTCCGTGGTTGCCTGACAACAATAAAAAGAGGCAGCAAGCTTTTTTCACTAGTGGAAAAAAAAAAGGCAGTGCAGCGCACCTCACGTTTTCCTGCAAAACGCTTTCTCTGTGATCGGAGCCTATAACAGCAGCATGTACATGATTGTAGTTGTGGCTCGAATGTTTCCATGGCAATGAGTAAAACAGTCTCGAGGGCCGTCTATCAGCAGCTTGCGATCTCTGTCCTCGCAGATTTTTCGTGATGGTGGTGAACACGTCACAGTATGTACCACTGACGTCCGCAAGTCCAGAGGGTGGACATGTGGATTCAGACTATCACAGGACTGACACATAGAGACAGACAACCATTCACACTCACACTACAGACAATTTAGAGTCACCAATTAACCTGCATGTCTTTGGACTGTGAGAGGAAGCTGGAGAACCAGGAGAAAACCCACGCTAACATGGAGAATCTGCACACTCCCCACAGATTGGCTGGTGGATAGAACTCAGAACCCTCTTGCTGTGAGGTGACAGTGCTAACCACTGCGCAACCATGCCACTCGAAATCATCATCAGCTTTTATAACTGACTGTATCTCCCTTGTTTTGCCACAGTGCGAGCCGATGAATTGCCTTCATAAAGCAAGTGTAACATAACCACAGCATTGTGATTTTCCAAATACTGAACACGCAGTAATAGCAGAGTAATAGCAAAAGCTAAAGGTGTTTTGTGACATGTTATGAGCATAAATGTGTGAAGAGAGATATGCTATTACAATTCATCCTGTAGAGAACAAGAGCGCTTGTACAAAATGTCATGGGAATCCATCCCTAGAGCCATGCTGCTAGTTGGCTAAAAAACATAGCCCTTGCTGTTCTTGTGTAATTAATGTTAAAGGAACACTCTTTGATTACATTAAAAGCACCCCCAGGGTGCCTAGTTTCCACCCCAGCACACGGCTTATGTTTTGAAACACGGCTGCAAACGAAAAAGTCCCTAGGAGCTTGAGTTAATAGGAACCTCATAAAAGTGATAATTGACAAACAGTACACTTAAACAGTCTGGCTGACTGTGGTGCAGGCATCCTACAACCTGTTGTACCAGGGGCAGACAGAGAAACAGCAGGAGCTCACAGGTTCGGGAGGGGCACACGCTCTCCGAGTTCTATACAAAATTAGAAATGTTTGTCTACCGCTGGTTTCAAACCCAGAAGGGGAATCATTCTGTGTTCCCTTAACACAGTTTGCTGTACTGTATTTGCATGCATTTCATATGCGTTTATTTCATTCTTGTGGTGAATTGTATTCCTAAATCATCTGCAGACACTATTAATATCCAGAATATCTGACCTTATCTTTTCCTTGTTCCCTCTCCTTAAGGCCAGTCAGGGTGACATTGGACATGCTGTTGGACTGCTCACAACTCAGACTGCAGAGGTTCAGGATCCTGGAGAACCACAGGAGTCAGGGACCTCTGCAGAGGCCTGGGAGGGCCAGAAAGGTACACTGGAGACAAAACAAGCATATGCAAAATTCTGACTACATTCACTTTAGCATGAAATATTTAAAAAATAACATACAATCACATAGAAACTGATGGCAGAGATATCACGTCCAGCACAGATGACACATGTTCAGATCAACAAGTAAGGACCACATTCATTGAGAAATGTTAGTATGTTAGTAATGAAAGCATTATTATTGTGAACAAATTAGACGACAAGAAACAAGACATTCAACCACTCATATCTGCCAAACATGCTTGATGTCTAAATCAGTGGTTCCTAAATGTTTCAGCCACGGTGTCCAGATTTTTCCTTATTCATTACTTCAAGGTCCACACAGTTTAATATATTCAGCATCACACTTGAGTTTGGCCATGTCGTCGAGCTAGTTTGCTGTCTCTGTCAAATAGTTGCCTCTTAGTCACTCAATCTACAGCAGGAAACTCTGTGCCGGAAATTCACTGTGCTTGAAAATAAAATTAGTTTTTTACAAACACCTTTACAGTAGTCATAAAACGGGCAGAGAAACACACTGCTCTTCTAGGATAAAGTATGCTAAAGATGGATTTAGGATGTGGGCTACTGTAATTGCAATAATTAAATCAGTGAAGCTTTGTTCTGTTCAAAGACTTATTGGGATCATTTGTTGGCCATCCAGTTATGAAATCTGTAACAGTGCTGGCATAATTTGTCTGTTAGTGAACATCTGACCATGACCCACATCCATGCCTATCTACTTGTACATCACTGAAGCAAGTTTAGAACCTGAACTACTGAAGGTCAGTAAAAAAGAATCAAGGTAGTGACAGACAAGGCACACATGGGGGTCGACAGAGAGAGGAATATAGGCAATACACAGAGAAACAAAACAAACAAGCAAAAGATGATCAACTATAATCGTATTCTGGGGGATCCTCCTCTGGCTCCAATTTGATGCTGTTTATGCACTCTGGCACCTTATTTACATTCAATGTACAACAAAAAAATTAATCATTCTATCTTCATTGTGAATTAGAAAATGGTCGGTGGGCCACCCAGCACCCTATCCCAGGCTAAGGCTGGCCCACAGGCCTTGATCTAGCGGTTAGGATTCCTGGTTCTCACCCAGGTGGCCCAGGTTCAACTCCTGGTATGTCTTTGTAGTTCCAACAAGATTAATCATACAGTACAATTGTGGGTAACAGGGCTCACTTTCACATTCAAGGTGTTGCACTCAGTTGTTCACACAATAAGTGCCAGAAGTTGTTGTATGAGAAAATCATTCATACTTTCACACCCTAAAACACAGACTAAACTCTACGTAAGTTGGACGTGAATTTCATGTTGCTTTTTAGAAAGTTACGATATTAAGGATCTGAAGTGGATTCAGAGGCTGCGCAACGATCCAACAAGCACATCATTTGAAGCGTACTGAGGCTTTTACTTTTCAAAGTCGCTGCCTTTGGCTTAAACGTAGGTGTCTCAATGCCTTTGGCTTAAACGTAGGTGTCCATTATGAAAAAGTTTTCTGCTGATTCCAATTCTGATATGAGAGTCAAACTTTCCTTTAAAGATGTTCTTCAGAATGTAGACAAGGAAGAGCAGAGTTAATCAGCAGCATAGAGGAGGGAATATTTCATGAAGAGTTATGCAATCTGTTATGCCCCATCTGCTGGTAAAATTGAGCATGGAACTGTTTTAACTAGAATGGCGGGACCTTGTTGTTTCTTCAGAACTTCCTAAAGATGAGCTGCAGACCGCCATCGAGCTCAGCCTGCAGGAGTCCCACAATGCCCAGGAAGAAGAGAGAGAATTCAACAGGTACAGGAGAACCTGCTTTTTATACAGTGCTTCTTTGTTACAACTGACTGGTTTGTTTTATTTATTTTTTCTAATTTACTGCCGACTTTCATGGAGAACAGTGTGAAAATAGAAACAATGGTTGTGGACACTTGTAAGTTTTCTGCTTCTCTGGCTCATGAACTGCTAAAATTAGAATTAAGGCTATTTGCAAGGTTATTGCACAGCCAAGGTGATCAGCAAAGGTAACTCCCTCCATCTGGCGAAACGAGAAAACTCACTATAGTTTCCAGTGGAAATTAAGATGTGAAAGACTCTTGTTAAGATGAAGATGAAATGAAAATTACCCGACAGCTTAATGTAAGTATATTTACATTTTAGTCACATTGGCGGCCTGGCTTCGGGGTTGGCATTGTGGTTAAATTGGTCTGACACTCCAACAGATACAGACTGAAATACCTTGTCAGCTACTGGATGTTTTGTGAGGGAATTTTGTACAGACATTCATGATCCACAGAGGATTAATCCTGACTGATCATGGCATTAGTGATCGGCTGACAAAAGTTTTTAATCATCTACAAAGATACATCTCAAGTTACTGAATGAATAGGCACAAAATTTGATACAGGCCTCATTGATTTCCAGACAATGACTTTGGTGAACCCCTGATTTTATTTCCAGCACCACTATGAGGTTGACATTTTCAGTTAAGAGTGAAATGTGTCAACAAAATTTTAATTTAACCAATACTTTGGTTTATGACCAAATACCTGCAAAACTGACATCATCATCTGCTGTACTTTGTATTTTGTGCTAAAATGAAAATACTAGCATGATAACACGCTGAACTAGGAATGCCGTCATTATCATCATTACCTGCTAAACAAAAGATATACTTTATGATCATAGTTGCCCAAATGTTAGTCGACCAGAAAGGTCATTAGTCGGCAAGATTTCAAAAATGTTAAAGCTGCGCCTTGTCAAAATAAATCCAAGCCTGTATGACTGGACCATGTGTGAATTTAATTTGAAAGGACAGACACAGGAAGTGTCCACGCTCAGCAGTCAGACAGGAGTCAGGTTAATTTCCAGGGCTGCTACCTGCAGTTATTCCACAGGCTAGTTAATAACATGTCGGGCAGGAAATCCAAAGTGTGGGATCATTTTGAGAAGGTGAAGGACGAACCCAAGGTGATATGTAAACTCATCTTCATTGGTCGACTACAAACATGACGTATCATCTGAAACATGGAAGTAGCTACATGCCCATTAGCCCACAGCGTCATTAACAGGCGGCTCGCTCAGTGTGTGACGTGCACTTGTAGATAAAATATAGGCCTATATTAATGAAGGTTCATTAGTACGGTACGACTATTGGCCCTAAATGATGACTGTTGATCAACTAGGAAAATTCTAAGTCGGGGGCAGCCCTAATCATACCATACATTCCTTCTTTCTTGTGGCAGTTTGTGTTTTCCTGAAAGAATTTGAGGGGATTTCACCTTGAACTTAGAAAGGTCTTATTATTCAGTCTATACACAAGAAAGAGAGTCTAACTAAGTCAACCTGTGTTTAATACAGTCGTCAGCTCAGTGCTCTCAGACGGGTAATTTGATGTACCGCAGGGCTCTGGAGGCCAGTGCAGAGGAGAATGCAGCGAGAATGAAGAGGAAGAGATGTGAAGCCCAGAATGAGATGTGCAGCCCTGCAGACTGGATCCGTCAGGACGACTGGCCCGTGGGCATTCGCAATGTTGGAAACACCTGCTGGTTCAGTGCTGTCATCCAGGTGGGAATCAGTGTGTAATTGGATACATCAAAGTGATGAGGATGTTGTGACTCACATGGATACAGTACCACATGTTTGCTTGCTTTCCTTTTTTGTTTTCTCACAGTAACACTGTCTTGAACTGTGGGATAGGCATTCTTACATGTGGGACACTTGAATAAAAGTATTCATAATATAACTGCACAGTGCACACCTAGCATTTAGTCTGTTAAGTTCACTAAGCTCCTTCTAAGTGTCCACCTGTTCTTACACATCCTTTGGTGCTAAAACTTAAAATAGCCTTCTCACTTGGCTTAACATACATTTATAGACTTGGAGTTTCCCTTCCAAGATTTCTAAATTTAGTCTGTCAGAGGGGTCGTACCTTAAATTCAGTGAACAAACGTTTGTTTTTTTGGCTTTCAACAAACTCTAAAACATTGTTTTGATTGTTTTTATCCTCTACGCTGGCAATAGATGCAGCCAGCATCGTGTTTTCAGGTTATCTATCCATCTGTCCGTCCCCTCAAGAACACTTTGTGGGAGTTTCCTCAAATTTGGCACAAACGTCCACCTGCACTCAGCGATGAATTGATCAGATGTTGGTGATTATAGGTCAAGCCCACTGTGACTTCATCTGTCTCATTCTTGTGAGTGTGATGTCTTAAAAACAACTCAAGGGAATTAGTCCAACACTAACATGTGATTTGGTCAAAGGTCAAGGTCACTGTGACCTTGCATCCGTCTCATTCTTGTGAACGCAGTAGTTAAAGAAGGCCTTTAGGGAGCTTCCTCAAATTTGGTATGAACATCAACTTTGAGTCAAGAATAAACTTATTAGAATTTGGTGGTCATTATTTGAAAGGCTCAACATCCCTCTATTTATGCTCTCAAAAACTTTGACAGCGCAAATTACTAATGTGAGACAACTAGGATTTGTCCCCAGGTTCATTGTAAACTCTGACTTATCCATCTGACTGTTAAGAAGCAGAAAAATAACTTCATTAAAGCCTGAATTCTTTAGCTAACTGCTAACAGCCACCATTGCAACTAACAAACTCCACAAATCCATTCAGCAGCTCCACCATCCACAGTCAGACGCACAACTCGCACCAACCTGGTGCAGACTATTTACTGGAGTTTACCAGCCCGACGCTAATGTGGCATTTGAAGATAATTATAAGCACGGCCGTTCTCGGTTTTTGATGTCCGAAAGTCCACCACTAACATTTTCATCACGTCTCGTCTTGTCAACAAAAATGATTTCACAGACATGGATGTAAACTGTAACTGCAACTTGACCTGCAGTTATTCTAGTCTGCTGTCACCAATGTCTATAACATAACTTAGAGGTTTTTTTCCACTTTAAAATGAATATACATGTGGTTAATTTATTACTAGTTTTCTGTGTTTTCAGTGACCTGCCTCAAAATGACCTCCCATCACATGTTTTTAAACTGACAGCTGAAACAGAGAGAGCTCCTTTCAATCACATCTTTTCACTGACTCTATGTCATCTTTATAAAGTTATTAAAAACATCAGAGAGACAACAAAAAGGTGTTTCTGCCAAAAGAGAGCATGCAGTATTTCTCTGAGGTGCTAATTCTATTACAAGTCCATTCCAGTCTGAATTTAGCCAGGCCTATCAGGTGGCCCGGCAGAAACTGGAGCCCTCATTGAGATGCACAGGCTGTGGGGATAATTAAATAGCGAGTGATGTGATGATGGAGCGAGCAGTGGACTTCCTAGTATGAGCCTGGAACGGACAGAAAGCAGACAGTAATTGTTTGTCTCTGTTGAACTCAGATATGCTTCTGCATTGATGTAGGAGTGAAACCCCCAAAGGACAGGGGTTATTATCTGGGAATAGAAATGGGAAAATGAGGCAGTGTTGTTTGAATACTAATGGCGTTCAAATGATAGCCTTTTGTTTATTTTTTTCACTGGTGTCGATACTGTTTGTTACAATTGCGACCATTGCTGTAGATCCAACAGAGCCCGAGTCTTGATAAAGCAGGCTCGCCTTAAAAAGTAATTATGCTATCAGATTGAGGCAGAGTGACTACATGATTCAGTTGTCAGCTCATATTCCCTCTATTATCCTTTGTGGTATAAATTACAGTAAAACTGAGATAAGCCGTAATTGAATTTCCTCCTGAAATGGAAATATGTATAAAGATATTCATAAGGGCTCAGAAGCTCCTCTCACCACCACACACGACACGAGAGTAACTGACTGGTATTAATGCATTTAGTTTATCATGACGAACACAAGTATCTTATAACAAAGTGGTGTGCTTTGTGTGCTCGAGTATTTTTTGTAAAATTAAAGAAGAAATACATTTAAATTCTGGAAACGTCTTTCAAAACATTTTCCAAAAGTTTCTGAGACACTGGTATCTTCTTTGTTACATCCCTGAAGCTAAAGAAATATTTTTATTTGATTTTATTAGTGATCGGAGCCAATTTTGGCATATACCATAATACTTCTATTCGTAGCCCGGGCTATTATTTGCTTAAATCACTGAAATCAACAGGCCTGTATTTGGGACAGGCCTTTAATTCCTCACACAAAGCTGTTGCTCAGCAAAGATCAGAAAATACAGCCAAATTGTTTATTTGAATCAGTATGAATATTAATTGTATAACAATTAGGCTTTAGATAACATATCAATTATGAATCGTTCATTTGATCTAGCACTGACTGACAGCACATTAGACAGAGAGTGTTACAACACCTGGGGATTTCGGCACCCGGTATATGGACACAACACCACTATATCCTATTAAAACAAGACTCTCAACTTGGATCAATTTCTATGGAAAAACCCTTTTGATTCTTTTGATCTGAGGACCCTTATGGACTAAAGGACTATGAATAACTTACAGAGTAGTCGAGGAATGGACATATAATTTGACGTAGCCAACAATCCAGTTTTATACAGCCGAAGAACTTCTATAACAAAAATGAACTGCTTTGCAACCAGACCAGGCCTCTAATAGAGACAGGCCTTTATTTGTCAAAATGTGTAGCTACACTGGGCTAGTAAAAGGGACCAGGCTTTTGATTGCCCCTTTGCTACATCCCGCCCCTCTGGAGGCAGACTGGCCAATCATAACGTAGCATCTGGCCGGCTCAGACCAGGGTCCGACAACAACACAGCTGTGCTCCATTGACTCTAATGCAGTCGTTTCAGATTTCCTTCATTTTCAGGCTGGTTTTGTGGATTTGGAGCTAAATGTTGTACCTGGGGTACGTCATGTATTAATGACACTCGTTACCTGGAGAGGTTGGAAAAAGATTTACGTTTCTTCCCTGTTCCAAAACCAAAATCAAACCCTGAAAAGTTTAGGGTTAGCTAGCTAGCTACTGAAGATATAGCCTACTGAATGTATACACATGCTGCTTTTGCTTTTTAATGATTATAACAGTGAAAAAAAGACCGACCCTGCTGTACAGGAACCATCTAATCTCCCACATCTGACCATGACTGGAGAGCTTCATTAATGGTTCTTGTTTTGTTGTTTTGTTGCAGTCACTGTTCCACCTGCCTGTGTTCAGGAGGCTGGTTCTCAACTACCATCTGTCTGAGAGAATACTGGAGAAGTGTAAGAGCCATTCTGTGAGTAAACTACTGTCATCAGCACAAAAGTTGTTGGGATTTTTTTGTTGATATGAGCATAGCCACTATGTGATAAAGTGTGACGGGGCTGAAGTTTGACTCTGAGCTTGTGTTCAAAGGACAAGAGGAACATAGCTTTCATGCAGGAGCTGCGTTGTCTGTTTGCCCTCATGATGGGCTCCACTCGCAGGTTTGTGGATCCGTCTGCTGCCGTGGAGTTACTGCGAGACGCCTTCCGGACCAGTGAGGCCCAACAGGTACTATATGTTTCCTGTCTTATGACAAAAAATCTTAACTTAAGGTCCACTTAAAGTATAGGGGGCCTCCCATTTGTTGATAAGGCTCCAGGCAGAGGCACCAATATAATAATATAATAATCATGAAATTATGCAATGAAAATAGCTTTATTGTTTTGTTTGCTTTTTGTCATTTTGTGGTTTGCTTTGTTTAGCGGATGAGTTTTTACGTACGCATTTTTTTGTTAGCTGCTCTGTAGCATGCTTGCTAGTCATGTTAGCTGTTATGTCAGTACAGCTCTAGATATCGCTGTCAGCAGTCTCCATCCTTTGGGCCAAAAAATTGAGGGTCATGGGTGCCCAGTAGCTTACTGGGTTGAGTGGACGTCCCACAGAGACATTGTCCTTGCTGCAGTGGCTGTGGGTTCAATTCCAGCCAATGCCCCCTTGCTGCATATCATCCCCTCTCTCTCCCCCCTCACACTTAGTCTGTCCTGTACAATAAAGGCCAAAAACATGCATTGGTCTAACTACTCTTCGTCCAGCTCGACATAAAATAGGGCGCACTGTCACCAAAACAACCACCATGTTCTGCACTGATGATGTAGTCCTTGTTGGGAAAACATGAGGACACATTAGTGTTTATACTACAAAACATGGTCAAATGTGTCCCAGACCACCTCTGCAAGTAGTTTGAGTGATTGGCGGTTGTTTACACTTGAATTAACGCTGTCCACTTGCGATTGGATCTCCCAAAACACGTTAATACCAGGTATAAAAGGGATCATAGAGACGGACAGCTATTAATGCTCACGTTGACACCTGTGGGCTGTTTACAGTCACCAATTAACCTAACCTGTGTGTCTTTGGATTGTGTGAGAAAGCTGAAGAACCCGGAGAAAGCCCTCGCTGACACAAGGGGAGATAGGCATGCAGACTCTACCTGCTGGCCGGTGGGTTTAAACCCAGACCCTCTTGCTGTGAAGCCACAGTGTTAGCCACTGCATCGCCGTGCCGCCCCTCCTGCTTAATAAGTGTATCTCCAAATACTGAAACAAAACTTGCGCCCATGCACATAGAAAAACATAAATACCCCCTTTAAAAAGAGATGATGTGTCTCAAGAGGCTTGTCCTGTGAACAGATTTTGTTAGAGGGTCGATGCAGCGTCCTCTGCAGTGAATTCTCTACATGAAATCTGCTGTGTGACCTATGAAATACTGACCAAGTAATAAATGATATTTTAGTTTTTTGCTCACCCCTGTCTCTCTCATTCTGTCTCGCTTATTTTCTAACAAGGTTGTGAGGCTTTTGTTTGTGTTTTGGGAGGATAAAAGTGGAACGAGATCGTGCCTGAACCAAAACAGACTGCATCTTGTAATGGGAGGCCCCGTGTCTTAACTGCCTTTCTGGTGTGTGCACTGATGGGGTGTGAAGAGGACAATTGTCTTTGCCAGATGTTAAGATCAGGAGGAAACCTTCGGAAAAATGGACCTTTAGTTAATATTTTTTGTCAAAATATACTGTTTCTGAGGTCATGAATGAACTCATGATGTGACATATTGATTCTTAACCCTAACTCTGTCCTTTAATGTTACAACTACACAGCTTATTTTAGCTTTGACCTTGAGGCAATATATAGAGGACATTTGTTTTTACTGATATTTTTCTTCTAATGTGTTTATTTCAGGATGTCAGTGAGTTTTCCCACAAACTGCTGGACTGGCTAGAGGATGCATTTCAGCTGGCTGCCACTGAGTAAGTTATGTGTTGATGTGATCCACGTGCATGGACTATTCCTCTTGTCTCTTTGTTTACTAAATAACATAAATATGATGTCATGTTTTACTTTTAGTAGCAGACAAGACAAGCAACAAAACCCCATGGTCCAGCTTTTCTATGGCACCTTTGTGACAGAAAGAAGACACGAGGGTATGACTTTCGTGAGAGTTATTGTTACGGTGACAAACAATATGAATTCTGTTCTCAATCACTCACCCTCTGACTCTGACTCTGCTTAGGTAAGACGTTGTGTAATATTGAACAGTTTGGCCAGTACCCCCTGCAAGTCAACGGCTTCAACAACCTGGACGAATGCCTAGAAGGCGCTATGGTTGAGAAGGAGATTGAGTCTGTGTTGTCAGATCACAGCACCACATCTGGTCGTGAGGTGAACAATTTCATTACAATGTTTTCTCCCCATTAAAGGTCTTTTTTCTGGGGGGGGAGTTTTTCCTTATTGGCTGTGAGGGTCCAAGAACCGAAGGATGTCGTATACTGTAAAGCCCTCTGAGGCAAATTATGATTTGCGATACTGGGCATTATAAATTACATTGAATTGCATTGCAGATGAAGGACTTAAAACTGCACTAAACAAACCAAAGCCAAACAGAACAAAATAGAGAAAGCAGTGACGAAATGAATGGTAACAACACTTAATAGTCCCCACTTTATGATGTATATATAAAGGCTCTAGGCCACAGAAGTCCAGGTCCAAGTTCATTATTGATCTCCTCTTGAAAAGAAAGAAAATAGTGGTCAGGTCAGTCTCTCTAGTGGTAGGAATTCTGGTACTTGGTCCAGGAATAGCTGAAAAGAAAGAGGTGATTCATTTTTCCAAGATAGAAGTATACATCTCTTTGCTAAGTATGTTATGGTCATTATATTCTGCATTTTTTCAGATGTGATTGGGAATCTGGCATGTCATTTTATACAAACAAGGATTTCAGTTAAATGTTATTTCCAGGACTGATGTTGTGAATGAATGAACCGAATTCCAGAATTTGTTTTAACAGATGACATCGCCAAAACACCTGCATGAATGTTCATTCGTCAGTTTTGCATCTCGGACAGTTAGGTGTATTGTCCTTGGAAATTTTATGCATTTTTATGGGAGTGAGATAGAATTATTCATGGATAGACGTGAAATTAGTTTCCTTGATGTTGTTACTTGTAAATGGAAAATGTTTAACCAGGTATTCTAATCTAAAACATCCCCAGATCTCTTTCCCACATCTTTAAAAGGGTTGGGAAAGATCAATGATCTCCTTTGGCCATAATATAGTGTAATAGAGGAAATTAATATATCCTGTACTTCAGATAACCCAAAACTAAACTCTCTTATTAATCTCTTTTAATAAAGAAATTTGCAAATTTCTGTTTTTGGACACATCATGTGTCCACCCTTACGTCAGAGAAAAACAAACAAATCTGAGCCTTAACTAGTGATATTTCATAAAAAAAATCTATGTCTCCTTTAAAATTTGCCCATAAATAAACCTTCTGCATGAACTAACCAGCATGCAGGACAAGAAGAACCGAGACTTTTTTCAGCTCCGAATTTCATTTTCAACTTTTAACCTTTACCTTTCAAACATCAAAGGGTAGGTCTTAGAAAACTAATCACTAATTAATGGTGGAGGGAGGGTCATCACTGTCCGCCAGGAAGAACATTTGTCGCTTTAGGGAGGGTCAAAAACCCCAGCCACCCCCCTCCTCTGATAATTAAAGAACAGCCCCGAAAGTATTTTGTAGATGTTGATGATTTGCTAAGACAATCGTATTTTCTCTTGGTTGCAGAGATGGTTCAAAAAGCTACCACCCGTCTTGACATTTGAACTATCCAGATTTGAATTCAACACCCAGCTTGGTCGTCCTGAAAAGATCCACAAGAAACTGGAGTTCTCACAAATCATTTATATGGACAGGTGAGCTTTGTACGAACAGCGCAGCCATAGATGTGCACGTTCATTCAGTTTCACTCGTTCCAACACCATAGAATAAGCTTCTGAAGTAGGAATGGGGATAACTTTAAAGAACATATAGGCCATTATACCATCAATTATAGGAGGCAAGAATAATCGAAGCTGTTATCTGTCTATTTAAACATTTAAACAAATCTCTGGGAATTGCCTGATGTTTTTTTCCTGTGTCCAGATATCTGCACAAAAACATAAAACAGACCCATGAGAGGAGAGTAGAAGTGAAGAAACTTAAAGAGCAACTTGCAGCCCTTCAACAGAAACTTGAGTGGTAAGTTAACTGCTGAGACATGACTTTAAAAAGCATCCACAAATCCCACACTTGCTTTGATGAAAGTGCTTTTAATGTTCTCTCATGTTGGTGTCAGCTACAGAGTCACCGTAAACTAGATTCTATCATGAGTATACAGGATTAAGGACTTTTTGACCACTGAATGCACATATATGGTTACTGAACGCTGCTTGTTTTGCTGGTGTGTTTTTAGTCTCTTTGTTCTTCTCTGCGAAATTCTTCATGCTGATGTCTTGGCCAGGACTCCCTTAAAAACATTTTGAATCTCAGTGGACTGGTCCAATAAAATGAAATACTCAAGGTGTTCTGTTCTTAATCACAGCTACAAAAACTATGGCTCGGGACCTGCCAAGTATCCTCTGGCTGACATGCTGCAGTTTGTGCTGGAGTTCGCTACCACCAAGCCATCGAGTGTTTCCCCAGCTGAAGATCTGAGACCAGCTTCTCCAACTCCTGCAAACCACCCCCTCAGTGAACCCATCTCCACAGACAACAGGTTGAGTAGACACAGCAGTGTAACATATACAAATATCTACAGACTTTTACACTCACAGTATATTATTCATATACCTAATGCCTCTTTCTATGCTGATGATACTAATATTTGGGGTTAAATTGAAAAAAGTAATTCTTTACATCTTGTTTGTCTGATATTAATCTCCTTGAAGAGAATAACATTTGTTTAATGAAAAGAATATTCACTTACAGTATTGAACATACTGGATTTATTTACAGGCCTTTGATGTTTTTCTTGCTTCCCTCAGTGAAACTGGAGATACAGATTCATCGGAGGGCCTGGCTTCCAGTGTTTCCAGTTGCCAGCGGACTCCTATATACAAGCCCTTCACCCAGTGCAGACACCCCATTGACTGCCCACCACATCCAGCCCCCCATAGCATCACTGAAGAGGAGCTGCACTTTGTGAAGACCTGCCTGCAGCGTTGGAGGGCCGAAGTAGAGAATGACATAAATGGTATGCTACTGCAATAGTGCACGTAATACTACTGATACATTGCTTTTAACACAGATCCATACAAGTCTTGATGTGCTTAGCTATCTTAGCATAACAGTCTCTGTTTCTGGCTCTTTAGCTGCTAAATTAGTTACCTTTGCCATGGAGGTCATGGTTTTGTTGGTTGGTTGGTTTGTTTGTCAGCAAGATTACGGAAAACTACCCGCCTGATTTTCTGGAAACTTACAAGAGTGTAGCATGAGCCAAGGAAGAACCGATTCAACTTTGGAGGAGATCCAAATCCAGGGCAGATACACAAGTTATTTTTTGTTTTTCATCGCAAGATAAAGCATTTGGCCTTGATGGAGGTCTGCGTTCTCTGAGTTCCCTTCTAATTTGTTGTGAATTTTTGTCTGTCTGCCGTTCTGTGCCGGGCAGATGGTTAACAGATGGTTATCAGGTTTAGCTGGCTACAGCGTTGATGAGTGCTGTGAGAGTGAACTGAAATATTAAAGTTATGGTGCTTAAAACCAAAACAATGAACTGAAAGGCACTAAAATGCTGCAGAGAGCTGAGAGGGACAGCAGAACAGGGTGAAAACTCTGAGTTCCTTCCTCACGATAAGTGACGTGTATACATTACACATAGTAATTCTATCAATTGTTTATACAAAAATATTGATTACACCAGTGGTTCCCAACTGGTCCAGCCACAGGGTCCAGATTTCTCCTTTCTCATTAGTTCAAGGTCCACACAGTTTAATACATTTGGCGTCATACTTGTGTTTGGCCATGTCCTTGAGCTCGTTTGCCATCTCTGTCAAGTAGCTATCGGGAAACGGTACTTCAAAATAAAAGCTCTGTGCCGGAAATTCACTGTACTTAAAAATAAAGTGTGTTTTTTACAAACTTGACACGTTTGCAAGTCCATTCAGAATGGCCCCGAGACTCACTTTTGGACCCTGACCCACCAGTTGGGAACCACTGGATTAGAGCACTGTATTACTCATAGATCATAAACATTTTGGACGTAGCTACTGTGACGTCACCCGCTGGTTTGTAGACTCAGCATTTCGGTTGTCGCCATCCCACTTTTCTGGAGCCAGAAGTGACCATATTTGGGCAAGAGGATGGCACTGTGGAGGAAGGGGTGGATCTGAGGACACGATCAGCAGGCAGCCTGTCGCCCAAAGCGGCCTGCCCTTAATTTTGCGTAACATTTAGCATTTTAACATGGGGGTCTATGGGGACTGGCTGGATTCTGGGGCCAAACTCAAGTGGCCATTAGAGGAACGCTAGCTTTTGCTTCATTTCTCAGCCCCACAGGTTGCCACTTGGTATAAATGCAACACAAACTACTTACAAACTGGTAACAGCAGATGGTGCAGAACGAGGTCAGTCTTGACAGTGAGATTGCAGTGAGCCCCTGATTTGCCAAAGGCACTTTTTTCTGCTGCACTTCTTCTCCCACTTGGTCGCACCAAAATACCTGGTATATAGATGTAACTATAAATATAAATATAAATAAGTGGTGCAAATGAGGCAAGAACTTCAGCACACCATGGGAAATAGTCTCCACTGGTTCAGAGCTGCACACCTGAACCAAAAAAGAATCCCAGGTAATATATTATAACATGTGGGAATTGCTGAGTTGTATTCCTCTGAATTTAACCTGGCTCCTCCAAACTTTCCCGTTATGAAGCAAATAATAGGTAAAAGAATAAAAAAACATGAGAAATTCATTTCTTTTTGTTTTGTTTTGTTTTGTGTGTATGTTGGTGTGTGTGTGTGTGTGCCAGAGCTAAAGGCCAGCATCGACAGGCTCACTCAGATGCTGGAGGGCATGTACTCAGACAACAGTCTCTGCCAGGTAAGACTTACATTCAACTAATTCACTCTGGCAAACAGCAATTCAATTACGTTTTACATCTACAGCTGCAGAGAGAGCAGCAGCTGAGACTGGATGAAACTTTATTGATCTCTGTGGAGAAACAGAAAATAATGTAATGTAAACAGAACAGAATACAAATAAGAACCTGTCAGATGAATATCACACTACAGTGGATTTAAAGCCCAGTTCAGACCAAAGATTCAAGACGAGACGAGTTGAAACAGGCAACAACTTTCAATGCGCAGTTCTGCAACGTTCTAAAAACCTGCAGGTTCACACCAAGTCAACTAGATGAGGTTGTGTATCATCTCAATGCAACAACTCTCTGTTCTTCTGTTCTGATTTCCAGCTTTTCGGGTTTATTTTGTGGCTGAATATAATTTACAGCTTCTTAAAATATGAATGAAGATAGTGATACATAGTGATAGTGGCTACAGCTGCATTTGCAGTAGTGATGAAACGGTGAAAAACAAACAAAAAGAGCATCAGATGGACTGTATTCATAATTAATACGCTACAATAATATAAATAACCAGCACCAGTTAATCAGTCAATGAGAGTGTGTGTGTGTGGGCGGGACATAAGTAGTCAAGTTCAGACCGGCCAGTTCGAACCGCTGAAACTTTCCTCTGCAATGTTCTGAAACGGTTTCATCTCGTCACAAATCTTTGGTCTGAACTGGTCTTAAGAGTTGCACGGTCACATCTCAGTACTCGGATATCGGATCCCAGTGTTACAGGGCTTCAGTGTTTTATACAGCTGGGATTCAGTGCTGTCTCCCACTCTGCTCTTATTAAGGCACCCTACAGACTCCATGCAGTGCTCGTCCATGAAGGCCAGGCATCAGCAGGCCATTACTGGGCCTACATCTACGACCATGCCAATCAGCGCTGGATGAAGTACAACGATGTAAGCATCACTGAGTCATCATGGGAGGAGCTGGAGCGAGACTCATTCGGGGGCATGACCAACGCCAGTGCCTACTGCCTGATGTACATCGATGACAGGCTACCCTATCTCATTACAGGTACATCTCTGAGTGTGTTTCAGTTGTTTGATTCAATTTGATGAGATGAGATTAACCTTGAATAATTTTAGAGGGTATATTGGATTATTGCAGTGGCACTGCAGAAAGGAGAAACAAAATGTAGTAGGAGAAAACTGTGGTGTGTGCTGACTCTCTCACAGTGCTTGTCTCTGTCCCCAGTCCTCACATTTGTGTGACTGTAGTGGATACAGTTTGCAGGTCAGGTGGTTGATAAACACATATTTTTAGCATCCCATGCATCTTTTTGTGTTATTTTACACCCACTCCTGACACTACTAAATAAAACTCGTCTCATTTAGCATTCACTTTCTGCAGAAGCACCTCCACTTCAAAACAGATGTTTTTTTAATGTTTGGCGTCTGGTGCTCCACCCTCTTCAGACTTTCAGTCAGGCATTCTTGACTTAATTTGCTCAGCTTCGTCTTCCTCTTCACTTTCTGTGTGTGCACACAGCCCTGCGGTCTCATAACCTTATATGGGGATTTGCGGGGCAATTAGGATCAATTGGCACACACTTCTAACTTACGAGGACAGTGGGATTCATCATTATAAGAACACTGGTCTTAACAGTTCTGCCGTTTGAATCTGCTGTAGGTTTTTCTAAGGACATTTCTTCAGACCAATTTTTAGAAAACACTCCAGAAGATATTTGTGAAAGAAGCCCAATCTTAAGATGTGAGAGGGTGTCAGACTTTGGTCTCGTTTAAAAAGTATTTTAAGTCTTTTAGTGCATGAAAGGTGTATCCTGATATTGAGAAGCAGGCTATTCCATCATGTTAGAAACCAGAACAGTATAAGCACAGTCCTCTTATGTATTTAACCATTGTGTAAATATGTATTAACAACATTAGCCTATTGAAAACTGCAAGTATGTATAACAGTAATTAATTTATTCTACAGTAATTTCTAAACTATTTCTAATTATCTGTGAACTGACACTGTCCCCCATCCACCCAGAAGACACAGATGATGAGACAGGCCAGGTGCTGCATGGCATGGACTCCCTGCCACCTGTCCTCAGACGCTATGTCCATGAAGATAACCGCTGGTTCCAGCAGGAGCTCAGTGAATGGGAGGAGCAGTTCTGCCAGACCGCAGCGCCACAGGGAGAGTCAACAGCGTCTGCAGAGCCCCCAAACCCCAGTCCTGAAAATATACAGCAAACACCTGTCGAGCCAGCACCCCAGTCAGGACCAGCTACTGAAGAGTCGGACCAGGGAGCTTCTTCAGAGCCACAACCAGAGCCAGAAGCAGAGAAGGAGCCAGAGCCAGAGCCTGATTCCTTAGAGAAACCTGAAGGTCTGTATGTGGCGATGAGAGAAGAGGGAACAATAAAAATATAACTACTTAGCAGTACTTTTCATCACAGTCATGTGTGTCCACTCACAGCCTGTCTCCTCTCTCTTTCTCTTTTTGACCCCAGAAGAATCAGAGTTAACACCACCCCCACCACCATCACAGGGCGCCGGCTGCCAGCCAGACGACACCAGCAGTGCGGCAGTCACTGACACCCTGGAGCCAAGCCAGAGCTCCACCTCCGCTGAGAAGGAGCTTCAGAGTCAGGTGGGCAAGTCTGTGACACATCACCCACCCACTCCCCCTCTGTGGAATATGGGTCAGAAATTTTAGGCCACATAAATAGAGTGTGTACATCTGGGTCAAGGATCCCATTCCACCACTTAGCATAGCAACACAGATCCAGGCTTAATGTCAGACGGAGTAATGCACTGATGAACCAAAGGTTAGGGGTAATTACTGCCATCACTTTATTGGTTTAATAGTCAGGAGCTTGTTTGGGGGCACATCATACAACTTTCACTTCATCGCTTTCAGTTTTTGTTGTGGTCAAAATATTAGGAACACCAATGCAGACCAATACAACACCATGCACTACAGAATGCAAAAATGACCTGTAGTACCCAAGAATGTAATGATCTCCTAAAAAATGTAGTTATTATTGAGAATTTATTACACTTTAATGTGTTTTATTTTCCCAGAACTGATGATGTAATACATGAGGGATAATACTATGTTCATTTTCTGTCCAGAGTTCTACGTTTTGTGTTTTAAGAATCTAAGACTGTTATTAGATTAGGCTACACATTTGATTTGAAATCAGAGAATGACCACTGGGTTAAAGCGCAGACCCTGAGCACCATACAGCCATATGCACATGTGCAGAAACTCAAGGACGTGCACCTACATCCTGGTCTCCTTGAGAGGGTGATAGACTTGCCTCCTTTGGAGACCACCATATGGAAAGCCCAGCTCAGACCAATAATTAGCGACGAGATGAAACCGTTTCAGAACGTGGCAGAGAAATGTTTCAGCAGTGTGAACTGGTTTGGTCTGAGCTCGACTCAAGCCAGCTGATGGTGTCACCTGCAGCTCAGCTGGTCAAATCGCAGATGGCTGGTTTTAAAGCATGTCACCTGTTTCAACAGCCAATCAGCTTGTAGTGAAGTCTGCTGGTCAAGTCAAAATGACTGCAGACGACGTGTTGGCTTGCTGCAGCAGGTGCTCTGTCCCCACTGAGCCCTCTGTTTGCATCCTCAGGGTGTGCCGGTGTCGGTGGGTCGCTGCTGCTTGCTATATGTACTTATGCCCCGCACACACACACACATCCTCACTGACTGATTAATTGGCGCAGGTTATCTATATTATTGTGGAGTATTTATTATGAATACAGTCCATCTGATGCTCTTTTTGTTTCTGTTTTTCGGCATTTCATCTCTTCTACAAATGCAGCTGTAGCCAGTATCTCACTATCACTATCCTCATTAAGATTTTAAGAAGCTACAAATTATATTCAGCCACAAAATAAACCTGAGAAGCTGGAAATCATAACGGACGTACAGAGAGTTATTGACTAGAGATCTCATCTAGTTGCATTGGTGTGAACTGGCAGGTTTATAAAACGTTGCAGAACGGCACATTGCAAGTGGTTGCCTTTTTCAACTTGTCTTGTGGGGAATCTTTGGTCTGAACAGAGCTTAAGGATCCAGAATTCCGGATCAGATAAGCCTCTGAGCAGCACAGGAGACCCCAGGTGACTCTTTTCTAAACGGTCTATACCACAGATTTCCAACAAAACACTACCTCCTGAAACTAACCGCAATCCAACAAAACAACTTTTGTTTTATAAGGTTATTATTGGGGTTTATTACATTTTCGATTGAGTCAAGTGCACATATTATTACATTTTCAGGAAATTATTACACTATTGGGTGCTACATGACCATCATAAACATTTATTGTGGGCTGTTCTTTTAAGTGACATTAAATAAACTGGTAATTTAGTTGAGATAATAACTCTGTCTTGCCATTGGTGTCAGGAGCCCCACTGACACACTGATTCGTCACATGTAAGTGAGTGTTTTTCCAAATGTATTGAGCTGCAGTCTGTCTGCTAACCCTCCCTGACTTCATATAATAAGACCAACCTTTCACTGGATACAAGTAGCCATTTTGAATTTCACACACTCCCTGAGCCAATTTGTTCACTGTCCGACTGGAGTTAAAATAGAAGCACATGCTGTATGACATTTTTAGATATATACACAGGTGTTTGTAACACATACAGAGGTGTAGATTAGTGTAGGTGCACTATGCAGAGCCCTAAACAGGATAAGCACTTATATAGATTATAGATAGAATAGAAAGAAGGTATAGTCATATGCAGTTTGTTAAATCTGTCTCTATCAGACTCCTGTTGGCCCTGAAGCAGAGCTCAGTAACCAGGCACCACCTGACCTCCATGAGGAAAACGATGACACGCAGGCAGCAGGCGGCAGCCCTCAAGCTGAAGGTGAGCCGGAGGCTTCCAGAGAAGCTCCTGAACATGAAGCAAAGCAGGAGGATGAGTTGCAGCAGCAGGAGGTCCCAGCTAGACAGCGACAGACTGAGAATGAGGTCTCAGAAGTGGAGATCCCAAATGTTGGCAGGATCATGGTGAGAGCTGATGCTGATGGATACAATGAGGAGGTGAGTAGGTGCCATAATGTAATATGAAGTCAGTAGCTCGTACAACGTAGCTGCACTTGTGAACATCTCAAGTTAGTGGCTCCAGAAATAAATTAAACTGGGTGAAATTTGAGGATAAATGCATCTTCGATATGTCATAGGCATGCTGTTATTCAAATCGACATTGTGCAGTGTCTGCATTGGTTTAAAGTCAGACTTTATAACATTTAAGCCAGTAAAGCCAACATGTGACCAATGCAGGCAGGCTCCAGCCACTCTGTTGCCTGCTTTGGACATGTCTAAGGCTATACACATTTTGGCAAACCATCTTCAAGACCTTTTCTAAAATAATTTGAAAAACTGAAGAGCCATTGGCCCCAAGACATCCCTCTTTTCCACCAAATAAGCTCTGGTTCTTGAGCTGGTCTTGGATATATTGGTGCTATCCAGCGAACCCGTCCACATTTCTACCAGTTTTGCACAGAACCTTTGTAATCATAAATGTGTCATCAGCGGAGGGCGTTGTACCATGCACAGTGTAAGTAAACAGAAGTAGCAAAATTATACCAGAACCAGTTTAATGTTGGTGGAAAAGGGAAAATGTAGGCCTCCTGTAGTTACTGGATCAGGGAAATCATGTAATATCTTAAACTGGAGAAGAATAGATGTACTCTCAGAAGGTGTACTTTGAAATGTCACACTATTTTGGCAGCCTTTTTTAGCCTTTGTTGAGAATATGGAAACTGGCAGCACGACAATGTCACCAATGTCTCTCTCATTCCAATTTATTTGTGTTATTTATTTTCCTTTTGGGGGTATCTGCCTATGTGTAATGGATAAATGTGTGTGGAGCAGGTGGTAAAGTTTTTTCTTTCTTATTTTTTCTTGTTAGACCGGTGAAAAAACAGTAAAAAACAAGACCTTAACCAAAAGTAAAAATTGCAATCGGAGAGCCTTAAAATGAAGACAGGATCTGTCTGCTCTCACTCTTCTGGGCAGGAGTTCACATTTATGACTCCACCGGACTGATTAATAGTTCAACATCAATTCAAAATTTAGCCAAGGTTGACCATTGAGACACAGAAATCATTATTAAAGCCTGTGAGTGTGTGATTTTGTTCTTCCTGCTGCTCTTTCACAACTTATAGCGATGCATTTGATTGTTGCTGTTTTGCAGTTTTAATTTTTGACTCTAAAGGTAAAGATACTTTGCAGGATTCCTGTTTGTAAACAGTATTGCCAGCCAAAACAGAAAATGAAAGCCAACCCCATATCGGCATTTCACCTCTTATATTTGCATGTTTCCAGTGCTGTGTCTGCGATTTTTGTTGCTTCCTCTTGGATGCATGCTGCTTACGGTCTGGCACGTGGTCACTACCTTTTTATAACACGGGCAGAGGGCAGGGTCTCTACAGATGAATACGTCACACACTTCTAGTGGGTAATGAATAATGATTGTAAGGAATTATCTTTTGTATGAGTTTATACATTGTTGTTTAGGAAAATCCTGCATAGTTTATCGTAAAGGAAGTTCAAGATGTTTCCGCAGACATCACAAGCAGCCTTAATTGTCAAACTGTTTGCTTCACTCTTGTTTCTGCTCCTCACACTCATTTCATAGATGATGCTGACTCCAGCGATGCAGGGAGTCATCCTCGCCATAGCCAAGGCCAGGCAAACTTTCGATAAGGAAGGCCCTGAGGCTGGCCTCATCAAGGTACGGTCCTGCAGGGATACTGGAGGTTCTCACATCTCGCATCCACGAAATAGTTTTCTGAAATAGTTTGCCAGCCAACATGAAATATTTACACGTCTACATTCAATTAGTTCTTTCTTTCCCCACATATGTATCAGAATCAGGACATAAAGACAGAAACATTCACATATAGTGAGGTACCTTTTGGCTGCGAGGCAATTTCTTTATTCATCGGCACACAGCATGTACTGTGTTAACAACAAGCAGCTATAGAGGATCAGACGCCTGCTAAAGATTTCTTTCTATAAATGATGAAGACCAGATTTTTTATGAACTATTCCAAATACAGGAAGGTCAAAGTCAATAACAAGATGAGCGTTTTAACCTTGTCTTTTGACTCATGAAATCCAATATTCCCAACATTTTAATGACAACACGGCAAACACTCAGAAACACAGAAAATATTGCAAATAGTCTCCCAGTGTCTAAGTTGAAAAATCCATATTTTGTCCTCATGTGAGGAGAAACTTGGCTTCATACGAATAATTTACTTGTTTGTGTGTATTTTTGATGAGACTTTCAACTTTGGTAACCCATAACAAATGAATAATGTCTGCCTGTCTTAACTCTGTTCGCACCAAAACTCTCAAACATACTCAGTTTTTGTATGAGTCATTCTGAGGTCGGTCACTGAGAGGTTGCTGCATCAAATAAAATCTATCTAGTGCTGTTACATGTTTGCTCACTATGGGCATATCGGAGAATTAAAATATAATTAAATCTAAGATACGTTTCCCACTGTTCCTTCAGGCCTTCCACGAGGAGTATTCCCGCTTGTATGAGCTCTCCCAGGAGGAGACCACACCCCAGGAGGACGCTCGTCTGCAGCATGCTCTGGTCTACTTCTTCCAGAACAAGGCACCCAATCGCATCATTGAGAGAACGCTGCTGGAGCAATTTACTGACCGCAACCTGAGCTTTGATGAGAGGTACACACAGATAGCAGACAAATGGACCCTCAATGAGCCTCGGAAATCAGTCTATACCAGTTTTTCCCCATCGTTTGGGCACAAGTTTCTGAAACTGTAGCTCAAACACAAAACTGAAAAGAAATAACTATTTAGTCAAAACTCTCTTGCAAAATGAAACACTGGAATCAAAACTGATTCTTTACACCAAAATGAATACAAAATGATTCACACAACGATCATATGAATACCTCCAACATAGCTCCAATTAAACAGTTGTCCCTATGATCATGGGAGCTGTGTTGTCCAAGGCTAATAGACCCTGCTAGGGTCTCCCAAGGCAAAGTGGTCCCAGGGGAGGGGCTTTGATATGACCTCGAGTACCTCGCCCTGTATGGGGACATTGGGGCCCTCCCTGTAGCCCAGTGGGGCTCAGCCCGAATAATTGAGGCTGTGGGCTCACCACCTGCAGGGACAGGAATCAGGGTTGGGTGCACTCTGTGCCGGGCAGCAGGCAGGGGTCCTGGGCATGCTGATCCCTGATGTCACAGACTAAATTTAAAACACTACCATCAAAATATTGTTATATATGATTTGGCTTCATGAGGCCATGTAACGTATTCAGAATTCAGATGTATAAAAATGTGTAGAAATTATTTCCTTTTTTCTCATTTCTTAAAGATTTTTTTGTGTGTGTCCCAACATAGACTGCATTTTTTTGGTACATACAGTACACTGCAGAAAAAAGGAAAGTGTCAGTCTTTACAACAGCTACTGTACATCCCTCCTATCCCACTCCACCATCCCAACATAACATATATATATATATATATATATATAAATTCTAACGTACATACATAGGATAACAGCAATTACAATGCACATGGGAGCTCATTGGATAGACAAAGCTTCCCAGAGTCATACTGTAAAAGTTGATATGAGAAAGTCACTTATGGCAAATCACAGTAACTGCACTGGCACTGTGAGTAACATGAGAAAAACTACAGCACTTTAAGACAGTGTTTAGACTGTCCTGGTGATGAAATGATGAAATCAGTGCACAAATACAAAAAAGGGAAAATATTTGTTTGTTACTGTAACACAGTAAAATGTTCAGGAGACTAAACTGGCCTCAAAATAAATGTTTTCTCATAGTCGTTCCTCTCTGTTCTCTTTGCTGCACCATTTTCCCCCCAACATGGTCTCAAGGCCTCCTTTATGCTCTGACACATGATGGGAGTGTTTTGCCAGTTGAGTTTGAACAGAGCTAGGATGTGGCATTTTGAAGGCCAGTGTCTTCAGGGTGACCAAACTGTGCTATATGATGCGATCTGTGCTTCGAGTTTTGCTAAAAAGTGATTTAAATTTTCTTTTTGAGTGAAAACAGTGAAATCATGCTGAGACTTCAGCAGTCTGGAGTCTCGCTGTTGATACATGAGCTTCAGGTTTTCAGAGTTATGTGCATAATTCCCTTTTTTGTGTGTGTACGCTAGAGGTTAAAAGAATTACGAGATAAACTAATTTGCCAGAAATCAGATGCGGCGTCAGGTAGTTCACCTGGTAGAATGGGCGCCCCGTGTACAAAGGCTGTGTCTTTGCTGCAGCGGCATGGGTTTGATTCAAGCCTGTGGCCCTTAGCTGCATGTCATCCCCTCATTCTCCCCCCTCCTGTAACACCTTAGCTGTACTAACAAATAAAAGCCACAGAAATAATCTTGAAAGAAAGACAGGAAATAGATCATGTTTGAGAAGTTTCTGTGCAGAAAATGTGTGTGGTTTTACTCAGAGGAGCAGCACTTTAAGGCCCATACAGCATGCCTTTTATGCCATCTAGTGTCCAGAGCAGAGACCTGCAGCACATGGTAAAAGTTCTGTATCCATCCTGATGTAAACTTACAGCACTCGTATGTCCTTTCTGTACACACAGGGCCATCAGTATCATGAGGGAAGCCCGAGCCAAGCTGCGCCTCATCAAACCAGAGGACATGGATATGGATGAGTACTTGGTACGGTCTAACAGATGCACTGACCTCTGTCTTTTAGGGATACACTGTTTGTGTTTTAGGGCTTAATCTGTCCCATTTTTGTAATAATCTCACTGGAAATTAATCTGTCTCTGTTGTCTTTTAATTATTTGGTAATTTGGGTTATGTCCTCGCCATCTGCGGGTTTTATTCTGACGTGGCCTTTTGCTGCATGACATCGCCCACGGTTCCCACAGTCATGGAAAGCCTAGAAAAACCATGGGATGTCACAGTCACATTTTCCAGGCCTGGAAAAGTCATGGAATTAGTCAAGATCATTAAAAGTCATGGAATTTTTTCTGTATTGAAATTGCTACCATAATCTCGAAAAATCGTCCATGTAACATAACGGCAAATTACTTTTCTTGAGCTGTCAACTGAATATAGCTTGATGTCTGACGCTTCGTCTGCCGTCATGTACGTTTCATTATTTTGTCTCTGGGCTGGTCTTTCCCTCGCTGTGTGCCAGCAAGCTGGAATTATATTTGAATAGAGTTTGAATCTGATATGTTTGAAAAACGCCGGGCAAGTGGAGCAAAAAAATAAATAAATTCTACGATTGATGACACGGCCACCTGCCTTGGCGTGGTGGGCTGGTCACAGGCATGGCACACTCAGGTTGCGTAGAGGAATGGGCATTGATTTGATTGGCAGACAAGAGGCAGTGCAAATTAAAACAAGAAAATGATAAAAACAACACTCCAAATCTGAGCACATACTGCCAGACTAGTAAAGGGAGGACGTGTAAGCCGTCCAGGTTAATTGGTGACTCTAAATTGTACGTAGGTGTGAATGTGAATGGTTGTCTGTCTCTGTGTGTCAGCCCTGTGATAGTCTGGTGACCTGTCCAGGGTGTACCCTGCCTCTCGCCCAATGACAGCTGGGATAGGCTCCAGTATACTACACTAGTGTACTATAACCTTAACATCAGAGTCTGGTGATGTTCTATGTTTTTCTCAGGACAGGAAGTATTTTTCGTGGAAGTGGGATGGGACACAGTAAAGTCCACTCCTGTTTTACCCTCTATCACAGTGGTTTTTAAACTTTTTTTGCCGTAAGCAATTGAAGGGCATGCACACACACGCTGTTTATAGATGGTAAAACACCACCAAAGGTGGATGGCTAATGATAATCTGTCATCTTCCTGCACTCAACAAGTGCCATGACAAGACCAACCAATCCATCTGTCAACTGTGCTGTGTGTGTCCACAGCGTGACGAAGGGCATCCCTCTGTGCAGTCAGCTAGGCCTCCATTCTTTGTCCAAAAAAGTATTGGAGGACATCAGTGAGCCAGACCCTTGACTGGGTGTCATGCTCCCTCTTTACCATGAGCACCCACGCGACATTTAGTTTTGAGTTAATGCACGTATACTCACTGAGTGGAGTGGCATATGTGAACTGATCAGCAGCGCGGCACACTTTAAGGAGGCATCTTCCTAGTGCATGGTGAATGCCACAACTGAGAAATGGAGTTTGGTTACCAAAAGCTACTTAGAAAGAGACATTCAAAGTTTAAACTAAACTTATAAAGACAAAACAAACTAACAATATACATGTGATAAGAAATTATAACAAAATATAATACAAAAGAAAAAAAAAAATCACTTCAGAAAAAAGCCACTAGAAGATAGATATATAAAAAGGGCGAGCCAAAATCTCAAGGCACACCTGTATTTATATCTGTGCACAGTAGCCTCTATAACGTGTGTTATCAGTCTTATCACAACATGAGACAATTAAAAAAAAAAAAAAAAAAAGTTTTTCTCTTTTCTTTCAGTGGTAGGTTGTCTTCGCTGGTGTTTTGTTGTAATTTGCTCCACACAATAAATCAATCCATTGCCCACTCACGGGTTTCTCCTTTTAAACATTAACGTCCCTCACACTGGCTGCCAATCAGGGCTTTAGATGTGTCACACACTGATAATTCCCACGCATAGACAGCGACAAATAGGTCCCCTGTGAAGGTTTTTTAAAATTAAATTGAATTATTTGTTTTTAGGTAGAGTTTGCCTTTTTATTAGGAAATGGGTGTGCACAACATACTGATACAGTCAATTGAAAGTTTTTCATTTAGCTGTTTGTAACGGCCCAGTTGAATATTGCAGTAACAATGTGTGGTTATCACAAAATCCCACAGCACACCTGAAATGGCATCCATTTGAGAACCACTGCTCTATCCCATATACACCATCCTGCTGTTGTGAATATAAGTCTGCAGTTGAAAATAGTCCCCAACTCCTGTTAACATAGTAACTAACATTTTCTAAAAACTACAATGACCAGCTGTTTTTAGAAACTACGGAGCCTTCTTTTAAAACACTGTCACTCTGTCAGTAGGAACCTGTTGACGTGAAGCTGAGAGCCACTAACAAGATCGGGAAGTTGGAAAGTATTGAGAAACGGACTAAGGCAATGTTCGTTTTGGTCTTTTCATGAGATTTGTTGAACAAAAATATCAAATATCGGCAGCTTTATCTTTGAAGGAGGAGTGAAATGGAATCACCGACTAACAACATGACAACTGAAGAAGAAATAACGCCTGTATTTAGTTCCATGATCAGACAATATAAAAACATGGCAAACAGTGATTGAAATAATCGTCTGTTGTCCTGTTTTCTGTCTCGCAGCAGTGGCATGATGACTACAGGCTGTTCAGAACAGTGTTCGTCTACCTGTTGACTGGACTGGAGCACTACCAGCATGGGAAGTAGGTGTCCAACGTTCATCACTGCACCGCCTGGCCCCAGCATGTGTCAGATCACCTCTGCAGATCAATATCAGTCATCTTGTTTGTGTTTGTTCTCTGAAACTTGACCACTGAAGTTTCAGAGAGTTATAATAATCATACTGGACATACAGCAGAGAGAAAAAGACACAATCCTCATATTACAAATGATGTACGACTCATTTTCTTAGACTGTGGTTGAGAGGAACAGGATTTTTAAAGTTCAGCTGGCCCAGTCAGAAGAACAGGATGGATAAAATGCATCTTTGTTAGATAAGAAAAGATATGCAGCAGTAACGCTATGTGGCAAAGTTTGAGAAAGTTCAAACCTTCAAGTACAACTTGACAATTCTTAAATATGTTTAACCCTCTCTGGTACACTATGTGATGCCATTTGGTTAAACTTTTGGGTATGTGACCTTAAAGCAACACAATACCATAATGGTAAGAAATTTAAAAAGATGTAGGGCTGCCCCCGACTAAGAACGTTCCTAGTTGACCAACATCATTTAGGTCCATCAGTCGACTAGCTGCCTGCATGTTTCTGATATGAATGTAATGATTAAATGATATATTTTGGTGGTTTGAGTTGAAGGTGTGAGAAAGAATAGTAATGATTAAATGATATATTTTGGTGGTTTGAGTTGAAGGTGTGAGAAAGAATAGTATCAGTAATATTGTTAACACTGTGCTACATTACAGAGAAATACAAAAGCGTACTAATGAACCTTCATTAATATAGGCCTATATTTTATCTACAAGTGCACGTCACACACTGAGCTAGCCGCCTGTTAATGACGCTGTGGGCTAATGGGCATGTAGCTACTTCCATGTTTCAGATGATACGTCATGTTTGTAGTCGACCAATGAAGATGAGTTTACATATCACCTTGGGTTCGTCCTTCACCTTCTCAAAATGATCCCACACTTTGGATTTCCTGCCTGACATGTTATTAACTAGCCTGTGGAATAACTGCAGGTAGCAGCCCTGGAAATTAACCTGAGTCCTGTCTGACTGCTGAGCGTGGACACTTCCTGTGACTGTCCTTTCAAATTAAACTCCCACATGGTCCAGTTATATAGGTTTGGATTTATTTTGACAAGGTGCATAATAATAGAGGTTCACTTTTGTTTGTTTTTTTGTTTTTTCTTCTGCGACTAAGCGACCAATGAAATCTTGCTGACTAATGACCTTTCTGGTCGACTAACGTTTGGTCGACTATCAGGGGGCAGCCCTGGGCTCACCTTACTTACTGTATGTTGTCACCATTTGTTTTGTTGCTGCCAGGCTGCTGCAGCATGTTGTCTTCCGAACTTTAAATTCTTATCCATCCTCACTAACATCGACTGGGAGCACTAATTTTACCCTCTTCATCTTTGAGGGGTTATAGAATAATAATAATGCATTCATTCTGTAAATGGAAGGAAAATATGTGTAAAATATAAGCACAGTCACAAAGTATAATTGACTGTATGGTGTCACAGCCCAAAATTTATTTAAACTAACATTATTAAACTTAACTAGGTTAATTTGTAGAGATAGAAAGGAAACAAACAGTGTTGCTTCAAGGCAACATTTGCATTTTTTTCCAGCACTTAATTATCAAAGAAAGTACATTAAACAATTAAAAATTAAACCTTACTCATGTATTTTTGTGAATCCAATTTTTCCCGCATTTTAAAATGACAGAAAAAGACACTTTCAGACCACTTTTGTGGAGATGCCTGATGGAGCTAAACCATGTGAGGAAGGCCCCAGAAAGAGAGACTTAACATGGCCTCCAGAAAGTCATGTGACAATTTAAACACTGCTATTGGTTTGAGTAGGGCTCGGCTCTTTTTTAAGTAATGCAACATATTTGAGGATGTATTGTGTGAGTGTAAATGGGCAAAAATGAGATTGTTACTTTGAGGCAACTCAGCACCACAGAGGGTTTAAATATGGCCTAAACTGGAACTGCAGTTTTTGTAGAGGATGACATGGTGACTGTCGCCTTGTGTTTGTGCTGCAGGACGCGGGAGGCATTGATCTTCCTGGCTCATGCGTACGAGACCAACGCCACCCTGCTGAAGAACGGAGAGAAACGTGGCGTGGACACATCTCTTATTGCCGTTTACAGGAGGAAATGTCTCACTGTGAGTACAGTAGCTCTTGCAGTCAGTGTGTGTGTGTGTGTCTACTGTACGTTATTGTGGCGGCACTGAGCTCAGTCCTTCTGCAGAAAGGTTAGAATAACAATGGAAAGGTATCATTAAAAAAGTGTGACTTTCATGGAAGCCTCCTCTTGTGATTTTACATTTCTTATGTACAAGTAGAAATTCTGGCCTGCATGAAAGGAAATTCAGAGGTCATTAGAATCATACCATTCCACCTGGTGGAAAACACTAGAAATCACAAACTCTCCGATAGAACCTTGCTTGCTCTCTCCAATATGGCACAACCCGGATTTTGAAATTAACAAAAGACCTCTCCATTTTAGCACATGGGAGTTGAAGGGAGTAACTCATCTCCATCACCTTTTCCAAGACAATATACTTATGACATACACAAACTTATTTCAAACTTTTGAAATAAGAAATGGCAATTTTCTACAATATTTACAATTGATAAAAACAATCAAGAGGAGAATTCCAGCGCCTCAGGACACTTTGCAGCCACCAGAATTTGCCAAACATATTACAAAGCTTTCTCCGAGTAATAAGAAGAACCTTTCTAAGATTTATAAATTACTGTCAAAGACCAGTTCTATACATTTACCAA